GATATGGAAAGTTTTAAGACAGCATTATTCTGTTTAGCAGATATTGCAAGAGCTATGGAAGAAGAGTTTGTACCATATATGAACATTTTAAATTATTTCTTTGGTTTAATTAAGGTAATAAATATATATTAAAATATAGAATCCTAATTTTAATAGAGAATTAAAATTATAAGTTTATAATGCTATTTCAGATATAATATTAGGATTGAAAGAGAAATCATTTTAATTTTTAGGTGATTTGAAAGAGATTCTGAAATTAGGATTTGCAGCTAGTATGGATTTAACTAAGAGTTAATAGAATGTTGATTAAGATTATGCAGAAAGATTGAAAGAAACAATGACTTCATTCTATACTTGTATTTTACATGCTTATTGTGAACCTAATGTACCTAATTTTGATTTAAGAGATACAGTAGATTGGTTCATAATATTTTGTACTGAGATGTGCAGTTTAAAATTAAAACCAACAATTGTATAGATTATGAATAAAATAATAGGAATATGTTAGATTAACATTATGTTGTATATTTGATTGTTCACATTTCTTTTAGACAGTACCAGAGACAAAGATAAAATTGAAAGATTTTATAACAAGTGATTTTGTAATTGAATTGATTAGAAAGATGAGTTAATTTAATGATAAAGATTATTAAGAATGTGTGTCATTTGCTAAATAGTTACTAAATGACGTTTATGGATTTTAATTGAAATTGTATTGAATTTAATTTAATTTTAATATTAATGGGTAATGTATGTGAACCAAGAGAAGAACTAGAATGGAATGATAGAACTATTTAACTTTAAAGACGTCTCGAACCTAAAATGTCAATATCCAGTCCTTACTATTCAAAATTAAAACAAATTGAATCAACTTAAAATTGTTTATCTCAATCAGCACAAGAAAAATAAATTCTTAATCTAGTAGATATTCGTTAATAAATTGTGTAAGAAATGCTTAATCATGTTATAACTTGTGGTCATTAAGAATTAGTATCATCATAAATAATGACTGATACTCATAATTTCTCATCCTTTAATTGGATCAATGATTCAAATAGTCATTATGAAAGTTGGAATCCATAAGATTGTCATACACTCTAAGAAACTACATGTGAAAGAGGAATACATTTAAATGAATGTATGCGTTTATGTTGCTTGAATTTGGAAGCATTTAAATATACAGAATAAGGTAGTGATTATATTTATGTTGCTTTTATTATGAAATATTGATTAGACAATTATCATTATTTCTTTGAATTTGGAAAATACCATTCCTTACCAGGAGTATATCCCAATGTAGAATACAATTCTTTACGTGTTTACATACTTATAAATTATTTAATTTCTTTACTTTTAAACTGAATTTACTTAAGATTCATCCTTTCTCAATTATTTCAAAAATTCATCAATAGCTTTACTAGCAATTCTTAATGTTGAAACAGGATAGATAACACAATTATAACCCATTTATTCAAATTCTTTTAATGAAATATATGGAGTCTTTCCAAACTCTGTCATATTAGCTAATAAATAAATATTTGGATTCTTAGATTTCAATTCTTTTGCAACAATAGCCATTTCTTCTTTTGTATGTAATCCTTCAGGGAATATCATATCAGCACCTGCATCCATATATGCCTTACTTCTTTTAATACATTCATCTAATCCATGTGTACCTCTAGCATCAGTACGTGCTATAATAACATTTAATTATATTAAATACCACAAATTACAAACTCTCCTCCACTACATTAAACACTTGCATTTTTAGCTATTTATATCTTTTTCTCCATTACATCAGATGGAACCAATTCCTTACCATCTAAATGTCCACAACGTTTAGGAAATACTTAATCTTCAATATGTAGACCTGATGCTCCATGTATGAAATATTCCCAAACTGTTTTAGAACACATTTCTCCTTCACCAAATCCTGTGTCTGCATCAGCCAAAATTGGTAATCCTGAAGCAAGAGCAACATCTTTGATTGTCTTACAGAATCCATCCAAAGTAACCATACTTAAACAATAATCTCTAAATTATACCCAATATCTGGAACTCCACTTGATGCAGTGACTGCAGCACCTGAAATGTATAAGGCTTCAAACCCATTATCTGCACATTGTCTACCAACCATACCATTGTATGCTCCTGGCATCATTAAACATTTCTAAGCTAATAGCTTTCTAAACAATGAGCAATTTTATTTAAATAACATAATAATTTTTTTATTCCAAAAGCATTACCACTTATAAATTCCAAAATATAATAAAATAATCTTATAATTCTTCAAATATTAAATAATCTCTATAATAATTAACATAATAAAAATAATTCAATAATAATATTGATTCAACTTATTTTATTCATCATACTCTAATAATTTTATGATGAAATTAAATTTTTTTTTTAGATCTTATCAAAATTATTCTTTGTAAACTGTTTTTTTATTCTAAATATAACATAGAATTCAATATAAATTACTATTTCTTAATATATAGATATATAAATATATAATATAAAAATCCATCATTTACAATCATTATAATAAGTTTAGATTTTCTATAGTATTAATTCTAAAATCTTTTTTATTATTATTACATCCTTATTTTCATATTTGTGAATGTCTAAATGAATTAATTCAATGGTGCATCATCAAAATGACTTCAATAATTAATTTATAATTATGGGATGTTCAGAATCTACGCATTATAAGTCTTCTCTCTAAATGAGCCGAGACTCTACTTTAGACACATGTAGAACATCTCCAAATAAAACTAAACCAAAAGAAGATTTTCTAGATTCATACAACTTTGAGGATTTTGATACATCTGAATTAAACATAGAACAAACATGTTTTCATTTCTATGATATTATTCTCCAAAAGGTTGTTACAGTCCCAAAATTAAAGTCAATCAATATGTCAACCATTATTAAAAGAAGAAGAGATAAAATTTGATATTCTTTCTCATTTTTGTACTAACAAATTTTTACACTTATAACATAATCAATATCAGATATTCTGTTTTAAATAGTTAAAAATGACTTTATATTAATTACCTATACAAAACCATTCAAAAAACAATCAATTAAAAAACGATTTAATGCTCAATTACAATAATTATTAGATAGATATCTTAATACAAGTTTTAAAATTAATTTAACAAATTTTATCTCATTTAACACTTGTCGTTTATATGAAAGCTTATAACCTAAAATCATATTTCCTATTTAAGTTTTAAACATTTATATAATAACTAAAGATGTATTCCAAAACATCTACTCATTACTTAATAATGATGATTTTTTCAAATATTTTTATTAAATAATTATTTCATATTCTTTAATATTTTTAATAACTCTCTCTTGNAATTCTTCAAATATTAAATAATCTCTATAATAATTAACATAATAAAAATAATTCAATAATAATATTGATTCAACTTATTTTATTCATCATACTCTAATAATTTTATGATGAAATTAAATTTTTTTTTTAGATCTTATCAAAATTATTCTTTGTAAACTGTTTTTTTATTCTAAATATAACATAGAATTCAATATAAATTACTATTTCTTAATATATAGATATATAAATATATAATATAAAAATCCATCATTTACAATCATTATAATAAGTTTAGATTTTCTATAGTATTAATTCTAAAATCTTTTTTATTATTATTACATCCTTATTTTCATATTTGTGAATGTCTAAATGAATTAATTCAATGGTGCATCATCAAAATGACTTCAATAATTAATTTATAATTATGGGATGTTCAGAATCTACGCATTATAAGTCTTCTCTCTAAATGAGCCGAGACTCTACTTTAGACACATGTAGAACATCTCCAAATAAAACTAAACCAAAAGAAGATTTTCTAGATTCATACAACTTTGAGGATTTTGATACATCTGAATTAAACATAGAACAAACATGTTTTCATTTCTATGATATTATTCTCCAAAAGGTTGTTACAGTCCCAAAATTAAAGTCAATCAATATGTCAACCATTATTAAAAGAAGAAGAGATAAAATTTGATATTCTTTCTCATTTTTGTACTAACAAATTTTTACACTTATAACATAATCAATATCAGATATTCTGTTTTAAATAGTTAAAAATGACTTTATATTAATTACCTATACAAAACCATTCAAAAAACAATCAATTAAAAAACGATTTAATGCTCAATTACAATAATTATTAGATAGATATCTTAATACAAGTTTTAAAATTAATTTAACAAATTTTATCTCATTTAACACTTGTCGTTTATATGAAAGCTTATAACCTAAAATCATATTTCCTATTTAAGTTTTAAACATTTATATAATAACTAAAGATGTATTCCAAAACATCTACTCATTACTTAATAATGATGATTTTTTCAAATATTTTTATTAAATAATTATTTCATATTCTTTAATATTTTTAATAACTCTCTCTTGTATAAAACGCGAGGGTCAAAATAGAAATGTTATTTATAATTAGAATATTATAATTTATGTTGTTGACAATTTAACATCTAATTTAAATTAGAATACAAATGTTAAGAGGTCGATGTATTAGTTGGAAAGATAATATTAGAAGAATATATTTGAAAATAAATGAAAAAAAAATATAATTTATTAGTTATTTCTTTGGTTATTAATAGTACTGAAACTATAATTCTATATAGATTTCTTTTATTTTTATGAAAAAATCAGCCCTTTTTTAATTACATAATGTCGTATTTGAAAAAATTAGGATATTTTAATAGTGTGTGTTATAAAAGAGAAGAGAAAAGATCTGTTTATTATAAGATATTCAAATATAATGAATATTTGATTATTGTTAATTCTTTAATGGATTTAGTGGATGATAATTTATTATATGATAAACTTTTAATAAATTTTGTTTACCCATAAATTCTAAATTATAAGAATTGGTTATCTCTGAATGATGAATATAAATGACAATACTAGTAAATAAGTGTTTAATATAATATAAAATTCATTATTTTTTCAAGTTAAAAAAGGTTGGGTTTACCCATTTTAAGTTAGGCCTGGATGCAATGAGTTTCTTTGTTTATTTCGATATTGTAAGGGCTGGTTCATCATAACTAAATTTGCATAGGACGATGTCTAAATTGAATCTCACTCTTTTCTTTGAGTTTATTTTATGAGTAGATTTATGATAAATGAATTAGGTGGTAGATAATTCATCTTTTCGTAATGATTCAGAATAGTAATCATCTAAACACTCTAGATCTTCATTGGATTGATTCTTATATTCTGAAATTGGAATCTAAAATATTTATTTTGGACCAATCATTTGAAAATGATATTTATTTTATGTTTCCAAATTTTTTCTAAGCCATATATTAGATAAAACAGATAATCTGTAAATTCATAGAATTTGGTTTATATTTTACTATAAAACACCTATTAGAGTATTTAAGTAATAATAGTTAAAATAAAATGTGAGTGAATAGTAAAAATTTAATATAAATTATAAAGTTGAATATTAGAAACATTAACAAAAAGTATATACCTTTTTAAGTAATCTTAAAACATCTTCCTAAAAAATTAAAAGAATATTTATTTAAATATTACTCTTTATAAATTAGATTTTAATATGATTGCAGCATATGTGGATTACATGAAATCTATATCTATGAATAAAATCAATCTAAAATTAACTAATAAATCAAGATTCTAAATGAATTATATTAAATAGATATTAAAATTATATACAAAAAATAGTAATGTATTTATAAAAAATTAAATTTCGAAGTGAATAAAATACTGAAATGAAAAATAGATTAATCATTTTATTTGATTATCTTTGATTGAAATAATGAATGAAGATGTATTATATAGATTTATGAGATGTGATTATAAATGTGACTTATTCTTATAAATCATTAAGTGTTTTATTAAATGAAAACTTATAATATTCATTAGGAATGATAGTGTAAATGTTATCTTTAATTATTTTCTATTGATTGGGAAGATCGAGGGAAACTTTCTTCTTAAAGTATATTATTTATAGATTGTTTTCGTACACTTTCAATTCTTTTGATTATTGTTTCTCCATATGCTTCTAATTATGTTTCTGCTTGTTTTTCATTATTTGTAATATCCTTAAATGGAGATCTCTCTTTATGTTAGATTAACACTTTATTCATTTCATTTTCTAAGTTGTTAAATTCTTGTTCATCTATTTTTACTTCATATTATATAAATAGATTTTTAAGAAGTAATATTAAATTGTCCATTTTAAATTAATTATTGAAATATTAGTTTATAATTGAAATATTAAAATAATTATAATACATAGACTTTTTATGAGTTTTAAAACAGGTGATGAAAGACATGATTTTTAAGTTAAATGTCCTTATAATCCATCACATCAGATGCCAAACTCTAAATTATTCTATCATATCTCTTAAGGATGTTAAGATAAAGCAAGATTAGAAAATCTATTTGAACATTGTCCATATAATTATTTGCATGTTATTCTCAAAGCAAACATGGATACACATCTTAAATAATGTTCAGATTTAAATAAGAATACAGAAGAAGGTAATTTAATGGTAGAAATGTAGAAAGTAATTAAAGAATAGTAAAAAGAATAAAGAAAAGCATAATAACAATTAAAATAATAATAATAAAAATAAAATATATAAATACCAGGTGTTATTGTACCTGATTAACCATAAAAGAAAAAGAGAGTTAGAAATAAAAAAAAGAAAGAAGAACCTAAAAATAAAAATACAGAAGGTTTACCTGTTTGGGGAGAGAGTTCAGATGAAGAAAAGAATGAAGTTTAAGATTTATGTGAATAATTTGGTGAATAATAAATAAATAAATAAAAAGATTAAGATTCTGATGATGAATGGGATTAGGTTCCAATTAAATAAAAAGGAAGAAATGGTAGAACAAAAGAAAAAGAATGATTTTATTATTAGTAACATTGTAAATTTATTTAAAATATCCCATATCATAAATTAGTGAATCTAATCAATACTCTTATAAGAGCATTTCTACGAATTCATCAAATGTTTTATTTACACCCTTTTCATCAACAAATTTAACCAAATCTTCTTTCTTTTTTTAAGGGAATAAAAGTTAAAGTTATTCAACAATTTAATTTAATTATGAAGCTTTTACTGTAATTTCAATTGGATCTTCTAACTTTTATATTTATTGTTTTTCATTTTCACAAATTACCTAAATATATTTATATAATTATTACATATAATTTATAGATTCTTTCTAATTAATTTTCGAAATGTTCAGGCATATATGGTATATCTATAGTAACAGTTAAACATTCACCACATGAAACATTATTAAGTTATTAATGAATGCCTAATTCTGGATTTGTTAAAAAAGCATTTTTCCATTAATTTATTCCACTATTTAATATTGTCATTTAAGCTATCATTTTTTTTCCAAGAACACCTGTAAATACTGGTATTTTCGAAGTCAAAGTGACTTTATAATTTTGAATTTGATTTTGATTTTGATTTTTATTTAATAATCCTAATTCTCTTATCCTTTTATCTACTATATCAGCTATATATTATTTAAGTTATTCATTTTGTCTAAAATCAATTTAATTAGTATTTTATGCATTATCTTTTTAATTTACTTGAACTTAAGTACTAATAATAATATTATTATATTACCCTTAATGTCCAGCTGATGGAACAACTTATTAAGATTAATCTATTTGAATTGGTTGAAATAAAGTGCAAACATCACGACTTTGTTTCTCTACAATCACCATACTTTAATTTAAAAGTCCCCAAGATTCTTTCAAAATTGATTTATAATCTTATGTTTCTGTTACTAATAATTTGATTGATGGCCATTAATTTGATTTATAAAGAGCTTTTAATTACTAGAATTCTATATCATTCCTTATCTCTGCAACAGATTCAGTCTCCTCTAATGTTATTCATTTAAATAAATACCTGGGTTTATAATGGCATATAAATATACTGTATTAAGTTACTTATAAATTGATTTTATTATCTCAATAACATTCTGTAAATTTGTAACATTTGGAGGTATTTTATGTACCTTTTTTGAATAAACAAACTTTATATTAGACATTTCTTTTATAATTTATTATTATACCTAAATTTCCATATGTATTACTTTATAAATCAAATATTTTAATATGGATTATTAGTATATATGTAAAATATATTATAATAATAATTTTAAAAGAAATAAGAATAATTTATATATGTATATTAAAATTCCATCAGAGATTCTTTTTTGTTAATAAATACTTAAATTTTATTTAATATAATTCATTTAATTACATTATTCTTTAAATATCCAAAGTTTAATTGAGGCATAATTACATTTGTGAATGGCAAAAATATTTCATCATTTAATTCAAGATTAATACCTTAACATTATATTAATATAATATACAAAATTATTCTGCATTGATTTCCTTGCAAATGAGAAGCAAGTAAAACTTAATTTTCGATATATAATAATTAAGTTTACGAACATTGAATTTTCCTTAGAATTTTATTTTATTTAAATTTGTTTCCAAAGTTTCACCTTTAATAATGATTAATTCACTTGTTTAACAATCAACAATGAATGCTAATAATAAATAAAATATTTTTGGAATTGTATTTATAAAATAATTTGGACTTACTAATTAAATTTTAGTGTTAGGATTACTAAACTTTTGTATTTTTTATAATTATTTCTTCAAACTTATAGTTTTACATATTAATTATGAATTCCATATTTATATCATTAAATCTTAGAATTAAATATTATTAGCTAAATTATGGAATTATATTTTATCAAAAGGTCTATTCTCTTTTATAATCCTAATAAAGACAATCAGTAATTTTAAATATTATTTACAAACTTTTTAAATTTCATAATTTTAGGAATCTAATTTTGATGATCTAATCTAAATTAGGATGGTAGGTTAATTTCCAAAAAAGATAGAAAAATCAACCTACATTATTTATTTATTAAACTTAACATTTACCGCATGATTAATAATTTCCTAATAATTTTATGAGTAATCTTATAACTTATGAAATAAGTATTATTCTAATGAATCATTTTCTACTTTAGATTCTCTTAAAAAATTCAAAACTTCTTCTTTTGATTGTATTGTTTGTGAAAGTGTAGATGTAACACTTTAGAATTACAATTTTTGAATTTAAAAATTAATCAAGATAAATTTTTAATTATGAAGAATTTATTTTAAAATGTTTTCCCATCTTTAATCAATTTAAGTTAAAAGGAATTATGATCTTATTGCTTTATGATATAAATAAACAATAACAAGCAAAGAAAAATTGGATCCAAAACCCATAATAACAGATGTAATGTCAATAATAGCACTATTTTTTATTAAATGAAATATTCTTAATGAATACAAAACAGTAATTGTCATAGTTGAATCTAAAAATTCAGTTCCAAGTATGTTAATAACATTAATAATCATTTAATGAGCTCCTCTAAAATACATTGTTGGTGTATCTGAAGGTGGATCAAAAAAAAGTACATATATTGAAAAACAAATGTTTATGTAAATAATTAATGCACGTTAATGATATTCTTTATTAAAATTAAAGAACTTAGAAATAGCAGTGCATCCCATCATACCAAGTATGGGATAAGCTACTGCATAATTTTTAATAATTAATGCTATAGTAAGCTTAATAATCTACAGCACAATAAAAAATAACATGAATATTTTTAAATGAGTTCTTCTTTTAGGAATTTAATGTTCTTACTAATATTTCTATTCAATTGATTAGTCTAAAAATTTTAGTGTTATTTTATGCATCCAAATTAATATATATTTAAATAAATATTAGATCGATTAGAAAATGATTAAAAAAAGTAAGTAATATAATTTAATAATTTTTAATTTAATATCACTAGTTATTATTTTCATATAGAAATTTTCTATTTTGTTAATTTTTCTAGATTTGTTTTTAAACACTATTGATTCACTTCTTCCAATTTAATAATCTATTTTATTCTTTTAGCAAATCCCCCATCAATTGATTCACCAAGCTTTTTATGCAATTAATGTGACTAGTTATATAACATATCAAGATTGACTTCATAAATTGATTATAGTGATTAATCATCTGAATATTAAGATACATCATTTTAGCACTGTTCTGGTGCTGAGTCTCTTTTCATTTTATTTAACTAGTACTTTCTTTATTCAATTTAGATTTCCAGTTAAGTATTAATTTCTTATTCTTTTTTACTTTCAATCATAGTGTGAAATTTATCAGAAATCTATTTGAGTTGAGGATTGGATGTATATATCTTTTTGTTATGAATGTAATCATATAATTTAAGATCAAACATAGTAATAAGTCCATGGGCATTTTTAGGATTTTTATCTTATTTTGCTCTTTTTGTAAATAAGAAGAAAGGTTTCTTGGCAATAACATAATCTTTAAGATTCTTGTAATCTATTCCAGTTTAAGATATATTAATTTTTTCAGTAGGATTTCTTTTTGGAGATGCAATAGTAACATCAATTTACCAATCGAGAGGTTATGATTTGTTATTATTATTTCTATTACTACTAAATCTAATATTTTATGATTCTAATAATTTTCTAACTTATTTCAAGGCATCTTCAAATCTTTTCTATTTTTATTATTGAACTTCTTGTAAATATTCTTTACTTTATTAATTCATTGTATCTTTTAAAATTGCAATTGATGGATAACTATATTTATCAAAGTGTTTGCCTTAATGTTTAACATAAGGTTACACATTATCGTAATTGACATAAATCTATTTGAGTTTTTTGGAACCAGGCACACTCTTCTTAAAGTAATGAGAATCCTCTTCTAATTATTCTTATTATTATTGATGTTTTAGACGATATTCATTTGAAATATCATAAAAAGTTTTAATAAAATGAATATTCTTAATTTCTTCTAATCTTTATTATTAATTAGCCTTCTTTCTTAATTCAATCTAAAAATTATAATATAAAATATTATTACTCTTTCTTAAATGAAATCTCTTAAAACTTGTATTTTTCTTTATGTCTATTCATGTAATTGTTATTGAATTTACTGAGCTTCTGCAAATTTACCTTCATTCATTAGATGTTATTATTTCATTTACATTGTATGAGTAGAATTATCATAAATAGGGACACTATGATGATTTTTTATGTTTCGCAACTTCTAGACATGATTTTTGATATTAGTTTAATCTGGAGTTATTTCTTACTCTTGTCCAATTATATAATTACTTTCAATCCAGGGAAATTGATAGAATTCATCATCTCTTAAACACTTTATTCTCCTTCTAGATACTTAAATAATTCCAACTTAAATCTTTAAGTTGTACATGGTATTAAAAGAGGATTCTCATGAATTAATGGATCTTGAAGATGCTAACATAATTATAAATATAATTTTTACATTCATAGTCTTCTCTCTATGATGTTTCTTTTTTAACGAGATATCATGTAAGAAATTACCAAACATTTCTTTCCAATTATCAGGTGAATGTTCTAATTATGGTTTTCGTATTGTCATTCTTTTTGTATTACTACGATTGACTAGATATTTATTTTTGAAACGAGTAACTTGATCTTCCATCAAATTATTATATATATATATAATTAAGTATAAATCAAGTAATATTCAACTTAGGTGAGAAATCATTCTCATTAAAAATTCTATTTTAATATTATTCAGTCATCCTTAATGGAATTCTACTTGATTTCAAATCTATTACTTCACCTTTTTTATTTTCTTAAGTCTATATTATAGGTTGTAATGGATTTATTTATGGAGTTTGATTTATCATTTATTTTACAGAAATTTAAGGTCTAAATGGCAAAGGAGGGATGTTATTTATTTATTTCTATTATACATTTAAAGGTAGGAACGCTTAATTATAATAATTGATTCCACCTTATGATGGTAGAAATCCTTATTAAATTTAAGGAATCGATAATTCAACTTTATTTTTTGGAATTACATATCTTTGTTAGATAGGATATCCTTTTATTCTTAGATCTATAGGAGAAGCGGAGACAGTATGTTATTAACTGTTTGGTCTCTAAGATTTTCTAATTTGTTAAGGTGATGTTTAATTTTGATTTTCATTTACAATTTGAATATACAAATGTAATTAGTCCATAACAATTTATAATGATGAAGGATTAATTTATATTTAATCTAATTGTGCTTTGATTTAATCTGTAAATTAAAGAGACAACTCATGTTATTGAGAATAGATATCTTCAGGTTTACTTTGTTTATAGCATTTTATAAGAGTCTTTAAACATTTATCAGTATTTAATTTTTGTAATCTTGTTTACAAATGATTCCATCTTTCATATGATAATCTATGAAATTAATTGATTTAATTGATTAAATAATCAATTTATTTTTGTGATTGAGTATTTAGAGTATTTTCAAGTGTTTATAAATAATTATCTATAGACTTATATAATTTTTCTTTTGCTTCATTAAATTTATTTTTTTATGTTTTGTGATGTTCATTTATAATTGTTTTAAGTTCTGTTACATTTTGTATATCATCACTCAATAAATTACATATGTCAACAATTTTATTATATTATTCTGCTAAACATGTTGAAAGATGATCAAAAGTTGGAGCATATTATTAATTATTATGATCTTCTTAATGAATATTCACACAAGCAGGACATAAAGGAAGTAAACAGTCACTTAGAAATGATAAAAATTTTGATACAGATGTTTACAAAAGTTTTGTATAAATTAATCAGGATGGTAATGACATTAAACAATAGGTACAGTTAATTGAGTATTGTATGTGAGATGTCTTAATTTGTAATTGGTTGATTATTATTATTATGATGGAGTAATAGGTCTATCAGATGGTCTTGATGAATCAGATTCAAATATACGACTACGAGGTTATCTTTGTATTGAACTCATTAAGTTATTAATATTATGTGTCTAACTGAAAACAAAAGATGAACATCAAATAATTAAATATTAACTACTTAATTAAATGAAGTAATATGAATAAGACATGAAATGTTTATCCACAAGAAGTGCATACAAATAATTAAATGAAAATTGGTTTCATACACCTAAAGCCACTCATAGAACATAAACACTTCAATCTGATAATAAGATTTAAAGTAGAAATACATTAGAAACTAAAATAACTACATAACAATATACATCATTCAAAGAAGAATTCTAAAAAATATAATCAAAAATAGGTAGTTTTGTAACCACAACAAGTGAATTCTAATCTCCTATGTAATCAATCTATGAACATTAAGTTTAAGAATTAAAGACTATTGATATGCAGAATGAAAATATTTCTTTGTAAGTAAGTTTTACTAAAATCTCTAGTAAGAAATTTTGACTTTAAAATAATAGATGTAAATTCAGAAAGACTAAATTAAACATAAGGACATGGTTATTAAGAAATTAAATTTCACTATCTAATAATTAACATCATATAATTAATAATTGAAATTATCACTGGGTTCAGATAATGATATGGAAAAACAAAAAACATAAATTAAAATGTTAGAGAATGAATTGATTGATAAAAATAATTAAATTTAACAATTCTCTAAAGTATTTCCTTTTAAATTATATAGATTTAAAATGAAATCAAATCTTTAGAAGATTTTTATATTAAGATGTTATCAAAAATGAAATCTGATTTAATATTTTAAAATAAGGAATTATTAAAATTACTAAATCATGTTTAATGCATTAGTTAAATTGCTATACTTAGTTTATAACATGAAGAATTACCTATTGATCTCTTATTCAAATACAAATAATATGGATTATTTGAAGATGAATAGTAAATAAATTAGAAAATAGAAGTTTTTGAATTGACCAAAGAAAATGGAAATTTATTATAGAAAATATTGAATGATATCAAAAAAACCTTTGAATAAATATCTTATCATCTTGTTGAAGGATTTTCATTATTGACTAAACATTGAATATGTTTATATATTAGTTTATGATTACAAAATGATAATATGATAATATTATATCCTTATTCATTCAGAAATCATACTCTCTGATTCCCATATATGTGAATAATCAATAAATAAAGTAGATTTATTTACACATTACATACTTCCATATATTTCTAATCCTAAAAAATACATTAATATTGGATAAATTAATGTTATACACAATCCTAATATTATATGTCCAATCACTATCATTATTAGATATGATTCATATTATTCTGGTTCATAATACTCCATTCCATACTAAACTGAAAATATCATAAAGTAAAATAACATAATCCTTATGAAAAGAGTCAATCTTGTTCTGAACTTTGATTATACTTCATATAATCCTTCTTCATATACTCCTCTGAAAATCACCAGTCCTAATCAATAGTTCTCTTATGCTTACCCAATAATGCTCCTATGATAATGAAATAGTAACCATAGGATTGAGAAGTTGATCTCTAAAGAATAAATCCATTTTCATCATTTAATTTTTCTAATCCATTTCTTTCCCTACATTCTTATACAGCATCCATAAATTTATAATATAAATTAGGATTCTAAGCAAAGTAATTACGAGAATAGAAATCAGCTGATAAAGATAGTGTTAAAAATACTAAAAATAATACTGCTGTAAAAATTGTTAATCTATGACTTTAATACTTGATATGCTTAAGAATGAACCTAAATATTTATTAATAGAATAATTACTTTTTTACTTTTGTATGAACTATATTCAAGTAAATCATATACATACATAATGTAAATATGATACCATAAATTACTTATCCAATAGAATGTACTCCTAAAATTACTCTAGATAAGCAAACAATCAAAGCTATGATTGTATATAGAATTGCTTTAAAAAGAGGTAATTTCATTTCTTCTTCATTTTCAAAATGATCAGCATAATAAATGGAGATCATGTAAGAAACTATACAAATAGCATGACCTGATGGTTTACCCAATTCTGCAATGCATTCTAAACTAAAATAGTAGAAGAGATTACGTTTAAACATCAGAATTGAACATATATGGTCTGCCTTAATTATAGATTTCTTTTAAAAACGCATGTGTTCCTGTTAAAACACAACTGAATAAAATCAACAAAAGCACATCTAATTTCTTATTGAAACTAAGATAGAAGTATAATAATATGATTTCAGATAGCAATAATGAGGTGGATTTAATCATATAGCTAATTTCAATAAAAGAAGGATTCTTAATAGAAAAGATAAATTTGTATGTGTATTACAGCAATATCTCATCTATAAATTGATCTATAATGATGTAAGTAGAAAATAATAATATTCCTAGTATAGCGTTTTTCTTAGTATTATATTTCATTAATTTTAATATATATGAAAGTATATGAATATTAAAAAATCACTTCGAACTCAATTGGAATCAATATCACTCTTAGAGATTTAATAGATTAGCCAATCCAAACTAAAACAGTCAAAGTAATTGAAGTGTTCATTAGTAATACTTGTGCACATCATTATAAGATGAGGGTGATTATGTGTATAATTGTTATATTGCTCTCAAAATTTTAAACTAAGGAGAATTAATAGAACTTTATAATAGATGGCCTGGACAAATAGATGAAGTTTACATAAAAGAAAATGATTTGATTGGACTCGATAGTGTAATCTACAATATAAGGGGTGATTTTAGGTAGGATCTATAAATAGAATACATATAATATGGAGTTATTAATAAACGCAATTAGAACTTTAGAATAAATATAATTAAAAATGAAGAAGAACATATACCTGAACAAGGAGACAAAATTTAATTGGATCCTAAAATGATACTAGGACATAAAGATAATGTATTCAAAGTTGTGATGAATGATGGAAAAATGAATGATATTAATTTTTAGGTTATGAAAAATAAATATCCTCATTTAGTGGTCTAATATTTAGAAAAATTATGAATCACTATATATATATATAATATTATTAAGATATAATTAAGATCTTTTATAATTTAATATCAGATAAACTAAAAATATTTCATTTAGGTTGGAATTTCTATTAGATATAGTAAGAGAAATATTGAGTTTGTACTATTTATTTTAAAATTTCATCCTCAGTTGAGTTAAGAATTTTCTCTTAAATTTAATCAAGATTGATTTCACCATCAACTTCTGGAATTAAAGAGAGTAAGGTTTCTTAAATATAAGCTTTAGTATCATCTAAAATTTTAATACTTAAATTTATGGTTATTTCATTATTATCTGGTAAATAATGGCCAGGAACACTTTATTAACGTATTTATTAGTATGTTTAAAATAATTTATAAAATAAAGTGGTATATATCTTCCTTTCTGTAAGATTATTATTCAAATTAAAAAATTTGAGTTTATTAGCATCAAAGAATAGAATTTAAGATTATTCATCATAAAAGGAATCTATATCTTCAATTCCCAAATGATGTAATCCATTTTCACTGTCTTTAACTATTCCACAAATAATGGGAACAGGAGAATCAAGTATTGGCATCAATTAAGCAGTTAAAGCATGTATAGTAGGTTATATATGTTAAAAAGGTTGAATCATATGTGGTAATATCATTCTATAGAATATAAAGTATAAATTACAATAAAGAACTTAATAAAGTTCGATTACAACTAATAATACAAATATTTTATTCCAACAACATATTAATCAATAGTATTAAATAATGAGGTAATTCCATATGTGAAAGCGCATAAGAGATGGCCCATTCTATTTCATAATTTTGAAAATCTTAACAATGTATTAATTGATGTTTTATTGGAGTTTGTAAAAATTAATAATTACATTCACTAATAAATTTTGAATTTTGCAATTCTGTTAAAAAATTAAATAGTTCTGGTTTGAATGACTATTATTAAAGAAATTAATATGTACTGTATAGAAAGAATTATCAATATTTCCTAAAGTCTCTTCGAATTCTGAAACCATTGAATAAATCTCTGCTTTTTTGTATTTTAATGTATCTAATAATGAATAATATTATTACTTATAATAATTTTGATAATTTCAATAAAAAAATCTATTATTGGTGCTTTAGTGATGAAACAATACGTTTTAGATAGTGAATAAAAGTATTTCTTTTTTAATTTGGAATTATTATTGGAAAAATTATAATCATAAAAATCTGGAACATCAACACAAATACAATATAATTAATGATGAATGTTAGTTATAGAGATTAGATCACTTATATTATCTGGATTTATTTAAGATGCATGATTTATAAAGGAATTGTTATTAAATGTTTATTCTGATTTCATAGTAATTACATATGCACCTGCTAATCTATCATAACTTTGCCCACCCATTAGAATTCTAAAATATTTTTTATAATTTTGTACGAATTCAAATTACTCATAGATAGAGTTTTCTCTTCTAATTTTACTTTCAATCCATATGGATGTATTTATTATGGCAATAATTATAATTATTCCATATAACTTGATTAAGCAGATGAATGTTGAAATAAAATCTCAGGTTTCAAATTAATTTCTCTTGTTTCTAAAATATTATTACTTAATCCATTCAATGTTGATTTAGAAACACTAATAATAAGGAATTCTTCAAATAATGAATATTATTTTTTCTATTCTTTTTACAATGATTATTAATCTTATTTTATTAAAATAGATTCCTATAATAATTACTATGGTGTGAAATTCGATTCATCACCTTTACATTATTCTAATATTATCTTTGATTATATCTATGTTATCTACTTTATTTCAGATAAATTATTTTATTGAAATCCTTTTACTTAAACATCCTCTATTACTGCTTAACTTTATTAATTATCATTTTATTTTCCATATTCTACTATTCCAGGACTTATAAGTTCTTCTTGCTCATTATTGCATTTCTTTGGATTCAAGTAATTCATATGTAATGTTGTCTTCTTAGTCTCAAATATACGTTTCCCTTTATAAAAATCATAAATACTTTAAGGTTAAATTGCTGAAGATACCTTCTTATACCGATCTAATGATACTACACTATATAAATCTTCTTATTTAAAAACTAACTTTGATTTTAAACTTGAAATACTTGCAATTCAAATTTCAATGATCCATTCTCTTTTTTCAATTATTCAATCTATTAATCCTTCTCTCTTAATTGTATTTAATATTGTGTTATTTCACGAATTAAATCATAATTCTATTAAATTAATTTCTCCTACTAATTAGTATGTTACTTACATTCTTCTCTTCTAATAACTTTATTTATGCTTTTTATTAATCCAAATCCAATATCTATGAAACATATTGTTTCGATTTCATTATATATTTATATATATATATAAAATCCTAAATATTATATATTTATAATTTAACAGCTACAATGTTTGCATCCACTCCTAAAATTAAAACTTATTCATCATTACTCTAAAACTCTCTATAACATAAACCAATTTAATAACCAATTTTTACAGAATTAACTCCCTCTACACCTCAAAAATATAATATTTTAAAGAATGTCAAAATGCTAAATGTCTCTTCCTAACCTACTGAAAATAGTTTTAGATCAAATAATTCTAAAAGGATAATGACATAAGATAGTCCATAAATTAATAAGGAAAATGTAAATTTTAGAATTGATTAATCTTCAAGCTAAATTGAAATTTAACTTAAACATTATATGTAAGAAAATAAAAAACTTTCTGATTTGGTTTCTAAATTAACAAGAGAAAAATAAGAATTATTAGATTAAATTACAAATACAAATTTTAATGTTATAAAATAGAGAGTAGAGAGATTAGAATCTGTAATAGATCATTAAACTAATGAAATTGAAGATTGGAAAAAAAAATACAAAGATGTATGTTAAAATGATTAAAGTACATCCTTTATTGAAAACATAGTAGTTTTATTATTTTTAATTAGGAAAAATCATATATTAAGGAAAATGAAAGATTAAAGTAAATTAACTAAACTTATTTATAAAAAATTTAGAACCTTGAATAAAATATCAAAGATTTAGAATATAAAGTGAATGATTAGAATAATTAAATTATTGCTTATGAAGAAGAAAGAATTAATCTCTTAGAATAGCCAAATAATGTAATAAAATTTAACTTAGAGGAATACATAACACTTTTTGAAAAAGTATTATTAATTTAAATATATTTATAGAATATCTCAGATCTAATTAAAATAGAAAATGATAATCAAAAATAATATGATAATATAAAGGAATAATTTTAATATTTTCATAATAAAATGAATTAGATGAATTTCAAAACCAACAACATAAATTAGCTTAAGAATATTTTAAATGAACTGAAAAATAATCTTAAAAAATAAATAAATGAATGATTAATATAAAACTTTCTTTAAAATAAATTGATTAAACAAAAAATGAAATTTATTTTTAATATAAATTTATTTCATTATAAAGCTGGAAATTCATCTTGATTTGAAGTGGTTTATTATTTCTTTTATTTTGGATTCTAAATTTTTATTTAAATATATATATATACTTCTTAATTAACTTATTCTTCTTGACTTTCCTTTTTAGACCAGTTTTCTTTATTTAAATAATAATCCTTTCTTTCTTAAATACTTTTTATAACTTTATCAATTTCACTTATATAAAATGGAGTACCCACTTTAATAGCATCAAAGAATTAAAGAGTTTATAAATCATGTTATAATAGTTCTGGTTTATCAGAATTATTTTCTACTTTTGTTTATTTTTATTATTATTATTACTTAAATTAATAATATTAAATACTTTATTCTTCTTCTTTGATTTCAATTAAGTAAAATTGTATAAATCATCTTGATTATCTTTCTTAATAACTGTACATTTTTCTTTTTTCCATTCATCACTCTTTAATACTTATTCAACATCTATTTATTGTTATTATTATTATGCTTATTATTATGCAGCATTTGGTTTGAGTTTATTGCAATAAGTAATTAAAGTATCACAAAGATCTATATATTAGAATATAATAAATTACCAAGTTAATATTGGAATGGATTAATATTTTCTAATTCTTTAGCTCTAGCTTCTGCTTCTTCTTTTTCAGCAGCTTCTTATTCAGCTTCTCTTTTAGCCCTTGCTTCTTCTCTTTTCTTTCTTTCTTCTTCCTTCTTTTTTTTTTCTGCATCTCTCTTCATCCAATTAATTTGTTTTAAGAGCCATTCTCTATATCTTTACAAGTCTTCATTATCTTCATATTTATCCCAAGCCAAATTGTAATCTCTTTTCAATTTTTCTTTTCTATCTTTCAACTCTTAAACTTTTGCCTCAATATTTTATCTTTCATTATCAATTAATGGATTAGCTTTATTGACAACTGAATCTTTGGTACTATCCTTTAATTTTTCATAATCTTATTTATATTAATTAATTTCTTCATTTAATTCTTGAATACTATTATATACTGTATTCATAACTTTTCCAATAGCAGATGATTTTGTCCTTAATATCTTCATTTCCTTTTCTAATTGTTAAAGTGGTTCAATATATGGAAGTGATCTTTCTAAAGCACTTACTTATTAAACTATTCTTTTTTCTTCATTAGCACTTAATTTATCTTGTTATAATGATTCTTTTAATCTTGCTAATTCATCAATTATTTTATCTGGATTATCTAAACTCTTCATCTTTTAACGATATTCTTAAGCTTAATTGAAAAGTCTATTAATTTATTCTTTTATTTCATCATTTTCATTCTTCATTTTCTTTAGTTCTCCTTATTTTTCAGTAACCAATTTAATTTTGTCTCCAATCACTTATCCTAATGGTTTCACTTCATTCTACAACTTTTATTGATTTCCTTGTTTTGCCTTTTATTATTATTCCTTAACATTTTTAACAAAATCATTCTAAATATAATTTATGATTCAATACAAAATGATTCCATTATTTTCTTATTTCTTCATCAATTTTATCTAATTATTTATAATGCTCTTCTTTATTTGGTTTTTAAGGAGGATGAGCAGGTAATTCAGGTACTTTTGTATCAATCGTAATCTTAGTTTTATCCCAATCAAATTCAGGTCTTTTTCTATCTTCTCTTCTATTCTTCTTTTATTATTTTTCTTAATTCTTATCTTAATTATCTTTTTCTCCTTCTTTTTAAGCTAAAATATTTTGCAATTAATTCTAACCTTCCTCTCCTTTTACAATATATTGAACCTATTATTATTTTTGTTTAGGTTCTCGTTTTCTATTTTCCCCTCTACTCTAATTAGGTTTATTCTCTTCATTTTTCACTTCTGTCTATTAAACTGGATCCATAGATAATTTATTTTTATAAATATAAATATTTTCTAATCACCCTACACGTATATAAATTTGATATCATTATATTTCTATTTATCAAATATTTTTAATTTTATCTTTTATTTGAAATCTGTTTATTAAGTATATATATATATATAATTGTCATATAATCAAATAAACAATAGTTCAAGATCTTAAGAGGTTGGTGGTTTTTATAGAATTTTGTCTGCACCAGCACTAAGACAATTTTTTTAAGTCTTCATATCATTGAAAGCAGTCAACATATAAATCTTTATCTCTGGATTAATCCGTTTTATTTCTTTAATACATTATAATCCATTCATTCCAGGCATATTGAAATCCAAAAATACAATGTCATAACATTAAGTTATTATCATATTGATTGCTTCCTTTCCTCCAAAAGCAGTATCAACTTTGTTAATTCCTATTTTTGATAATTATATTTTAAGTAACATATTATTAAATGACTCATCATCAACAATTAGAACTTATAATTAATCTCTTTTGTTAATCATCTTATACAATGGAGTTAAATGATTGGTACTAATTATGTTTTTATATGGAGAATGTGCTGAAATATCATAATCAATAGAATCGACACTAAACTAATCTTATTATTAGTGATGCTATTTATCATAATTTTTATAAATGACGAATTAAAATGTTGAACCAACTCCAACTTATGATTATAGATAAATGTACTATAATGGCCCTATGTAACCACACAACTATTTACAGATGATCAATCCTAAACCAACACCATTTCTAACATTTTAAACTAATACTCTACTTATTTGTGTTGCTATCATTATCATAGGTGGCAAAATTTCTGAAAAGTCTTCTCTATATTTCTTGGCTCATACCACTACCATTGTCAGATACTGTACATAGAATCAATCTTTATTGATTTTTTAAGAGAGTATTAATATCAACGACTGATTTATTTGTTTAAATCTATTCTTTAACATTTTAAGAAAATATACAAATATTTTATGGATCATCAGAAAAAGTAATTGATATTCTTCCTTTTGATGTAAATTTTATTGCATTTGAAAGTAAATTAAAGAGAATTTGCTTAATTCTTAAAGGATCATTATTTAAAGATTAAGATGAATTTAGATTAGAAATAATATCTAATTATAAGTTCTTCTTTTGTATTTAGATTTAAAATACATTTTTAACATCCTAAATTAATTACATAATATCAAACTAACTAATTGCTAATTTTAACTTCTATTATTTAATCTAAGCAAAATCTTATAAATCATTAACAAACGATTATAAAATTTGAACATTTGTTTAACACATCTCTAAATAATTACAACAAGATTATATTTTCTATAATATATCTGGATTTGTTTCCATTTCAGATAATTCAAATAAACTATCCTATACTAATGTTATCATGGATTGAACTACAAAAATAGGATTCTTTAAATCATGACTAACTGTAGCTAATACATTATCTTTATATTGATCCAACTTCTCAAGTTAAGATATTTTGATCCTATCTGTTATCTCAATTAAAGAAACTATATAACTTCTTTGATGTTTCCATATACATGGAGTTACTAAGATATCATATGTTTAATGATGATGATTACTCATTAATCCTGTTAATTTTAAGGGGAAACATTCTTAAATTTCTTTGTTTTAAGAGTTATTAAAATATTAATAAAGGATTTAATTTAATGTATAAGGCTTATCAATAATATTAATTTATTCACCTGTGGATGCTTTTAAATTATTTTAAGGTAGTTCTTAACTTAAATTGATTTTAAAATTACATTAAGAAATGTTAGACTCATTGCAATTAATAATATTTATTTATGTAATTCTTTAATATAAATTTTCAATAGTAGCAAACTCCTTTTTACAAGCCTAATTAATAAATAGTACTTCAAATTAATCTTACAAATTTCTATCAGAATTCAACTTTATAACAAACAAATTTTATTGTAGACTATGATTAAGTACTACTTCTTAATATGAGAGATCATGGCTAAAGTTAAATTTCTCAAAGAAATAAACTAATTTTCTTCGCTCTCTCAAATATATACTGATAGCAATTGCTAAAATAAATATCCATTAAAAAGGTAAAAGAATCCAATCAAAACAATTATCGAAATACATATAAGTAATTTACATTATTGCAAAGTAACAAATTAAGTATTTCTTATTGTTTAAACTTTAAGTAATATACATATAATATAGTTGCACATATCCATTAATTTGAAACTAATTACTATGAAAACTTAAAAAGATATGAAGTGCTACAACATGAATTATTTTCCAATAGTCATTACATTTTGAGTTCTTCTTTATACTCCATATTTGGAACAAACTTGATAATGGAAAAACAATAAGGATTTATGAATATATTGACTAAGTATCCTAAACTATTGAGGAAATAGTCAAAGCTAATTCCAAAAACATTTTAAAAGTTTCTATTAACATCATTGTACTTTGATTTAACTTTTTCTAGAAAGTTTTAAAACTTTTCTAAACATTCTAATCTCTGAAATTTAGAGTTGGATTCAAAAAAACATTTTCAGATTATAAATTTCTTGATAGCGACAATAGATACTACATCTAGAGTTATTAATTATATTTCTTATATATATATAATATTTTATAAATATTTTATAAATATATTGAAATATAAGATATATCTTCCATAATACTTTATCTAATTCAACACTAATCTATTAATTTACAAATTAAAATAAATTAATTCGTTTCTCAAGTGAATATATGCACCTAATATGAAATTTAAAACAAAAGATAATTAATGAATAATAAAATTTAATTAGATCTCTACTATTATATAAATTATATTATATATCATATTATTATAATTAATATATATATGAAAGGTGAGATTTCTTTTCCAAATAACGAAAATGTTATGGTTATTACATATGACTGTGAATCCAATATTTAATTTAAAGGTAAATTAGAATAGCTAACATGGGAATTAAAAAAACAAAAAACATTAAAGTAGATCAATAAAGAAAAAATTCGTTTACTTGAAATAAAGACATTCACTAATGAATAAGAATAAGGAAATGGTCGATAACCATTTACTGTAAAATATAAATGTGATAGTTCGGCAAAAACATTGTTATAGATTTTATAAGAGGAACCAAATAAAGTTGAAAAAATACTCTATTTTTATAAATTAATAGATTTGGCAAATATTCTAAAGGAATAAAAATTAATTCATATGAACTTGAAATTATACAATATTATATGGTATCAGGAAAAATTTTATCTGATTAATTTTGGATACTTAGATACATATCCTTCTCAATATGTTACTAGTTTAAATTATGGTAATGAACAACAATATGAGACTGATCGTTAAAGATATTTATATCCTTATTTAACTTAAAATTTTTTGACTTTTATAAAAGATAATTTAGGAAATAAAGACCTAATTGAGAAACATTTAAAAAATATATCAGAAGAGAAGAAGCAAAAATATGATCTATATGCCTTAGGGATCATGATGTTGGAATTATTTGTACCCTTAGAAAAAATATATAAAAATTTTTAAATCTAAACTTATGATAAAAAAACAAAAAAATATAATATGATAGAGTAGTTAAAAAGGATCGATGATTGTTAAGATATTTATGGAAAAGATACTTGTGAGAAAATTAAATAAATTCTTAATGATATTTTTATTGAAAAAAAATTACCATCAAAGAAAGATTTTAATTCTATAATACAAATTTTTGAAAATATTCAAGAAAGGGAAAGAGAAAGAGAAAGAGAAAGAGAAAGAGAAAGAGAAAGAGAAAGAGAAAGGGAAAGAGAAAGAGAAAGAGAAAGAGAAAGAGAAAGAGAAAATGACAATGACAATGACAATGGTCAACCATAGCATAATCAAAGAAATTCAACTATTATTGATGATGAAAATTAATCATTAATTATTTGTAACTAAACTTAAACTGAAATTAGATCTTTACTTTAAGGATAAAATTTAGTATAAAAAATGAATCCTTAGCTTGAAATTTATGTCAAAGATCTTATAGGTAGACAATAAATCTTTGATTTCGATCCTAGATTATTATATTATTTAAATCATGATAATCTAAACGATTATTTAATTAAAATAAATGATACACCAACTCTTGCTCATATGAAAAAAAAAGGAAAGCATCTTAAGGGTTTATTAGTTACGGATTATCTCAAAAATAAGAAATATCATGAATTCTCTAAATTAGATAAAGAAGATGGATATTACCTATTATAAAATTATCTTAAAGTTAATGAAAATTAAATTGATACTTATATTTCAGAATAAATTGATATTTTAAACAAAATCCCAGAAAGTTCATTTTAATTTAATTAAATTAAAAAAAATTCACCAGTTATCTAACTAAACACTGAATAAAGTTTTCTCGAAAAGCTAATTCGATAAATGCCAGTCATAAAACGCTTTATAGAATATTAAATGTTATTTTTACTGAATTAGAACGATTAATAATTTAAGTGGAAATTTGAAGATGAATAAGAAAAGTAAATCAACAAATATTAAATGATTTTTGCGAAAGTGTAGGGTATAAATTAATTTTGGCATTTTTTTGACTTAGAAAGAATGGAAAATGCTCGATTAAATAAAGAAATTACATAATTATATATTGGAGATATTTAAGATACTCAATTTACAGGCAGAATTATTGAATATATACCAAAAGTTAGTAAAAATGTAAACCCGAAAAAGAAAGGCTTAATTGTAGATTATGAAGAAGTAGAAGTTAATCTTCTTGATATGTTCAAAAATGGCCAAAATGTTAAAGTTACTACTTATAAATAAAACAATTTTGAGAAGATATCAGTTTATACAGGAAATTTAATGAACAATGAATATCATGGAAAAGGTAAGATTATAGACTTGTAAAATAATTATTAATACTATGGAGATTGGAAGTATGGCAAAAAGGATGGAAAAGGAGAATTTAAAGTACTAAGTACAGAGTTTTAATACAAATATGAATTTAAGGAACTGGAAGGAATATTTTCAGATGATCATATTGAAGAAGGTTCTAAAATCTAATTTTTTCCTAATCTTAAATTTCAACCCAATACTCTTTCTCCAAACTAAAACTACGAAGAAGGCATTGGAAAATTTTATTTTGAAGAAGCTGTGAAAGTTTATTATTACAAAGATAAATATAGAGTAAAGATTGAAAGTTCACAATTATATAAAGCAATTTAGAATAAATTAAAAAATTTATGTTGTAATTTATCAAATTCATGTAAAAAGTAGTGAAGTGCACAGTGAATTAACATAAATCAAAGATAGATAATATTTATATATAATTTTATATTATTATTGATTAGATCCTAAATAAAATAAATGAAAAAATATCTTAAATACACAGAATTGTTTAAATATCATAAAAAATCTGAATTTCTAATTTTATTTTTCCAAGCAATCATTTATTCAAAATTGCGCTTATCATTTTCTATTGTTGATTGAAAAAATGATCTTGGTACTTATATTATTTACTCAAAATAATAATAAGGTCGAAAATAGAAGAATTAAAATGAAACTAAGTATAAATATTCTTAGACAATATTTCAAAAAATACTAATTACTTATTTCAAAAACTATTTTATAGATTAATACTTCATTTATACTCTTTAAAGTTTAACAAAATTTGATTCTAATAGCATTAACAATCTAAAAATATTGAAAAATAAAAATGATTCAAAATCAATAGAAAAATAACAGAAATGTTAATTTTGAAAATTAATGTAATTTATCGAATATTACTAAAATGAATTTATTGTTCTAATTCCCAAAAGATTAAAATAAATTCCTAAAATAAATAAGCTCACTATATAGTTGATCCCAATTTAAAGATAGAAAAATAGAAAATGTATCAACAAAAAGAGAAATCTAATATATCTAATTTTGAAGAAACTGAGAAAATGGAGAAGGTTGAGAAAGGAATATTAATCATTGCTACAAATAGGATTAATTAAGGTAAATTTGAATTTTAAGAAACTGTTTATTTGATAGAAGAAGTAATTAGAAGTATTCATTAATCTTCATTTATAATTAATAAATTTAGAGAATATAATATGGATAATCTGATATAATAAACTCTCTTTATATTATTAAATGACTGATTAGTATAGAGGCATATATATAAAATTATTAAATAATTAGAAATGTTTTGTTGTTCATCTTAAAAAAAAAAATAAAATCCAAAAGCTACATAGGAACTATTTGAATCAGGAAATCCTTAGAATGGAGCGTAATGATTTATAATTTGACATTTTAGAGGTTTTTAACATCAAGAGGTAGCTCCTGAAATAGATGATAGACCGAAAAAACATCATTCAATGGGATATTAAGTATAAGATGAAAATGTATCAGCATCTATTTGTCCATCTTTTGTAGTAGGAAAAACACCATTCACAGTTTTTGTGATGAGGGTTCTTGAAAAATAATAGAAAATGAAATAAGAATTGCAGTAGTAAGAGGAGATGAAAATTGACTTTTAGGAGGATCTAAGTGTCATTGTTAATTATCCTTAAATATAAGCTGAAGTAAAAAACAATGAAAATGATAAATCGCAATTTGAAGAAATAGCAGAAGAACCAATTCAAGAAGAGGATGATGAAGATGATAGAGAAATGTCAGAAGAAGAAGCTAAAAATGCAGCTATTTACAAATGGGCAAGAGAAGTTCATGATTATAATGCAGACAATACAGAAACATTAATATTATAAGCGGTGTCTAATTTTAAACCATTGCAATCTAAAGAGGAATCTCGATCTACCCTGGCCCATAAAGATGGAGGAAAAGTATGCAGAAACAAAAAACTTATTAGAACATTAAGAGCTATAGGCAGAGACATAATCAATTAAATAGGTAGGTAAATATTATCTGGAAATTTGAATCTCACTACAGTTTCATTTCCTATCAAAGCTATGATTCCTAAATCTGCTTTGGAGAAAGTATTGATGTCTAGTTGTTTATTTCCACTTTATATTAATAGAGCTACACAAGAAAAGGATCCAATTGAAAGAGTATTAAATTTATCTATTTTTTATAGTTAAAGCTCATTATTTGTGCAACATTAGGAAACTTTTATATTAATTGTTCTTTCCTAAAACCTCTAAATCCTATTCTTGGAGAAACTATTTCTGGATTTTATTAAGATGGTACAATAGCATATGCTGAATAAATTTCCCATCATCCACCTGTGAGTTATTTTCTAACAATTGGACCTAAAAATAGTTATAGATTTTATGGATATTATAATTATGAAGCGAAAGCAGGATTTAATTCATTATCATTAAAAAATAAAGGAAAAAGATATTTATCATTTCCAGGTGGAGATCTTATTGAATATAATTTCGCTGGAGAAGAATATAGCGGTAGCTTTTGGGGACCAATGAAGGTAGAATGTAAAGGCAAAATCAATTTTGTTGATAAAAAAAATGATATAACTGCTTGTGTAGAATTAAATGGTGTTACATGGAAACCAACTGATTATTTATAAGGAGAAATCAAAAAGAAAGGAAAAAAAGTATGCAAAATTTATGGCTCATATATGGGTTATATTGAATTTGCAGAAGTTAGATATTGGGATGTCAATTATATTAGACCCTATGAATGCAAGATTTTTAAACCTAATCCTTTGTTATAAAGCGATGCTTCATTTAGATAAGGTATATACTATTCATATATCACTAGATCTAAGATGTCTGAAAAGAAATTAAGTCTTAGAAGCCCAAGAATAAAAAGATACTTTAGAAATGGCACAAAGATAAGAGGCTAAATTAAGAAAATTAAAAAAATGATTCATCACTCTACATTTTTCTTATTTATTATTCTTAAAAACAATTCTTCTTTTTTTTAAATCATCATATATTAAAATGAATTATCAAAAAACTATTCAAATTATTATTTTAATAATAATTAAATAGTAGAGATTATACAAATACATTTTATAACATTCTAATGATTAAATAAACTATTATGTTAATTTATTGACTATAAATATATCAACAAAGGTTAATGTATAAAATAGAGAAAGAACAGATTAGTAAATTATCTTTAAGTATTAAATTAATTTCCATCAGATATAATTACAAACATTAGAACAATTTTTATGAAGAATATAAATCTTATATAAAATAAACTTTTTAAGATATTATTGCATTCTAATTTTATAATTGGATTGAATCGAACAAATCTATTCATAATATTAATGAGTAATTTAGCTTTAATCATATTTCAGGAGAATTTAAGTATATACTTTATAAAATTCATAAAATAATATATATTATACAAAGTGAACTAGTATATCCTATAATTTAAAAATTCATAAATTAAAATTTCTCTTTTATATTTTGTGAAGTGAATTAAATGATCATATCATTATTAAATTAATAAAATAATAAATAATTTTATATCAATATTAATAAAAGTTTATTAAATTATACTATACTTTATCAACTTGATATTAATTTTAATATCTTTTTAAATTTATATAAAGTTAAACACTATCACAGACTTATAAAAATGAAAGTTAAAATAATATTTTTTTTAATTTATATCAATAAAATTGAAATAATTACTAAAATTATTATTTTAAAATCCAAATTTCAATTTTTATGATGAAATTATAAAATTTAATGGATATTCAAATCTCCTCATTCGTAAATTACACTTCTTTAAGCATTTTTGTATGCTTTTATAAGCTAATTCATAATGTGATTATAAATGTTTATGTTTTTTTTTTATTTTACAAAAACAAGTATGGATTTCCTAATTTAATTTTATACTGGTTCTAAAATCTATTTTTGATAAATCTATTTTAAATTCTCTCCAAATATATTATATAGGATTTAACTATGGCAAATAAGAAGGTAAATATAAGTGATTCGCATATTGTAAAACATCTTTTGTTAGATTAGATTTTTTGTGCACTGATGTATTGTGAAAAGCTATGACATAATTTCTAAAACCGTATTTCAGATTGCAAATCTGAATTATTTTTAGAATAATGACTTTAATACTTCTGC